CCGGCTGTTTTAGGTATTTGGGGAATGAACAGGTAGATGAAAGATTCTCTCTCTTTCTGTGTCACTGCTTTTCACTTTTTAAAAGTGTTTTCTGATCTCTTTAGTGGGATGTCAATGTAAGAGAATGATGACTGATGGGCCACCAACTTCACTGCAGATTAATGGTGGCAGAGGCAGCACCAAATGAGTGTGGTATCCAAGGAGCCAGCAAGAAGGGGCTCAGTGTCAGGTGAACAGGTGGAAGTGGCAACACAGACAGCTAAAGAGGTAGATGTCAGGGCAAAGACATGACAGCCAAAGAGGAGATGGGTACAGAGGTGCCAGTGTTTGAGACAGAAAGGGAGGTGGTAGCAGTAGCTTGTGTTTAAGCCCCTCCGAGAACAGGTCAGATCCAGAAACGTATATTTTTCCTTTATTTATTTATTTTTTTGACAGGTAGAGTGGACAGTGAGAGAGAGAGAGAAAGGTCTTCCTTTTCCATTGGTTCACCCCCCTCCAATGGCCGCTGTGGCCGGCGCGCTGCGGCTGGCGCACTGCACTGATCTGAAGCCAGGAGCCAAGTGCTTCTCCTGGTCTCCCATGCGGGTGCAAGGCCCAAGGACTTGAGCCATCCTCCACTGCACTCCTGGGCCACAGCAGAGAGCTGGACAGGAAGAGGAGCAACCGGGACAGAATCTGGCACCCTGACCGGGACTAGAACCTGGTGTGCCGGCGCCACAGGCGGAGGATTAGCCTATTGAGCCATGGTGCCAGCCATATTTTTCCTTTATTTCAATTAGCAGCATCATTTTTTAGGCATCTAGCTTTAAAACCTTACCCTTTTTTTCCAAAGAAAGCAATCAACTAGCAACCCTTCCTGCTTGCAACGCTGGCCATGACCTTCACACTGGTCTCTTCTGTTTTTACTAAACATCCTCTGGGTTCTCCTATTATCTCATTCTAACAAGAGGCAAACCTTCCTACCTGGTATCCCCAACTCCTCTTCTCCACACTAAGTTCGGTCTTCTCATCTTCCTGCTGGAGTACCATTCTGATCAGGTTACTGATCTGGAAACTCCCCATGCCCTTGCTACCCCCAGGTCATGTGTCTTTATCAGCTTGAATCTTCAACAGGACCCAGCATCTGGTGACATTCCTCTGCTCTGAATCTCCACTTGTCAAAATGCCACTTCCTCCACAAGGCTTTCCTTCAAGCTTCTCAGCTCTCTGCTCCAAGTGCACTTGAAGACACACATTGATCAAGTACTCGATAGCTGTATATACAAGCCTTACCCTACCACTTGGCAGGATAGATGGTGAATTGTGTCTGAGTATTTATCAACCTATTCCCTGCCACACCTACCAAGTAACAGTTACTGCATTTCCACCTCAGTGTAAGGAACTGCTCAAAGTCAAATGAATTGGGATGCACTCTAGATGTTCATGAACGAAGACACTACAACAAGTGCCCTGTAAATGTGGTCCGGCTCTCAGGATAAACTAATCTATGACACAATTTCAAGGAAGGAGGCAAAGGCAGGGAGGTGGAGCTGTATGTTGCAGTTAAGAAGCTTTGATTGAGGGTCTGCCGTGCCATTCATTCTCAAGCTATTGTCCTTGCATCAACAGGTTCTTCTTTGAGCATCACTTTCTTACAACTACATGGCTTCATAGGCTCAAGGATCACTCTATGAGGGGCCAGAGCTCTGGCACAAGGGGTTAATGCCCTGGCCTGAAGCGCCAGCATCCCATTTGGGTGGCGGTTCTAGTCTCCATTTCCGATCCAGCTCTCTGCTATGGCCTGGGAAAGCAGTAGAAGATGGCCCAAATCCTTGGGCCCCTGCACCCACGTGGGAGACCCGAAGAACTTCCTGGCTCCTGGCTTCAGATCGGCGCAGCTCTGGCCGTTGTGGCCATCTGGGGAGTGAACCATAGGATGGAAGACCTCTCTCTCTCTCTGCCTCTCCTCTCTCTGTGTAACTCTTTCAAATAAATAAATAAATCTTTAAAAAAAAAAAATCACTCTGCAGGCCAGTGTCGTGGCACAGTGGGTTAAGCTGCCACCTGCAATGCCAGCTTCCCACGTGAGCAGCTGGGTCAAGTCCCAGCTGCACTACTTCTGATCCAGCTTCCCACTAATGTGCCCAGGGAAGTAATGAAAGATGGCCCAAGTACTTGGGACCCTGCCACCCATATGGTAGACCAAGATGGAGTTCCAGGCTCCTGGCTTCAGTCTGGTCCAATCTTGACTATGGTGGCTATTTGCAGAACCAGTGGATGGAAGATATCTCCCTCTCTCTGACGTTACTTTTCAAATAAATGAAATAAACCTTAGAAAAAAGGTGGGGGGGCAGGCAGCGTTATGGTGTAGCAGGTAAAGCCGCTGCCTGTGACACCACCATCTCATATGGACACTGGTTCAAGTCCCAGCTGCTCCACTTCCAATCCAGCACCCTGCTAATACACCTGGGAAAGCAGCAGAGAATGGGGCTGGGGCTGTGGCACAGTGGGTTAATCCTCTGCCTGCAGCACCAGCATCCCATATGGGCACTGGTTCTAGTCCCAGCTGCTCCTCTTCCAATCCACTCTGCTGTGGCCTGGGAAAGCAGCAGAAGATGGCCCAAGTGCTTGGGTCCCTGCACCCACATGGGAGACTGGGAAGAAATTCCTGGCTCCTGGCTCCGGATCGGCGCAGCTCTAGCCATTGAGGCCATTTGGGGAGTGAACCAATGGAAGGAAGACCTTTCTCTCTGTCTCTCCCTCTGTCTATAACTCTACCTCTCAAATAAATAAATAAAATCTTAAAAAAAAAAAAAAAAGCAGCAGAGGATACCCTAAGTACTTGGGCCTCTGCATCCATGTGGGAGACCCAGAAGCAGCTCCTGGCTCTTGACTTCGGCCTGGCCCAGCCCTAGCTCTATAGCCATCTGGGGAGTAAACCAGGGAATGGGAGATCTTTCTCTCTCGCTTTCAAATAAATAAATAATTAAAAAAAAAATCTAACTCTACACTACTGGTCTCAGTCCCAGTCCCAATTATGCATCGTAATGGCCTTTAAAACTTCCAACAATACAGATTACCAGGTCCTAATCCAGGTTAACTGAATTGGCATCCTCTCGAAGTTGGACCAGGTGGGATTAATGATTTATAAAATACCATTTCTAATGCATAGCCAAGGTTGGAAACTACTGCTATAAACTCATAAATACCATTAACAGTAGAGCAAAGTGCTTTAAGCTGCTGGTTTAATTATATTTGTTCAGTTAGGAATTAGTTCAATTAAAATGCACTATTGTGTGTGAGCATTTTTTGCCCTACATTGTTGCTTATGTGCTTAAGTCATTAAGTTCTGAGAGAGAAAATAATACCCAATACACTACTCTACACAAACATGTACCTAGCCACAAGTGGTTTGTGTTTTTTTTTTTTTTTTTTTTTTTTTTTGAGAAGAATAAAAAAAAAACATCATTGGGCGCTCTAAAATCTTGTTCCTCAGAAATGTGATGACCATCAAGCCGAAGTGGCATGAAGCTTATATGAAATACAGAATCTGCCTATTAACAAGATTCCTAGAGATCAGTGGGTGAAGCAATAGCAAGCTTTTCTCAGTTCACATGTGTGTTCTGGGCCTGCTACTTCCCTGTCTTCATCCTGAAGGGGTGGGAAGGTTTGGAGTTTCAAGTCCTGTCTTCCACAAACCTTTTAAGCTTGAGACTTTATCCTGATGCATCGTTGTCTAACGGGTCTATTTCATTAAAACTAAAGACTACAAATCCTTATAGGAAAGATCCTTCAACTTCCAAAGATGACTTGTCTTCCCAGTCTTCCTTCAATTAATCGCTTCCTCTAGGAGACTAAAAATATTATTCCAGGGGCAGGTGTGTGGCATAGCAGTCAGGCTGCTGCTTGAGACACCTGCATCCTACATCCAGGGTGCCTGGTGCCAGTCCTGGCTCCTCTGCTTCCAATCCAGCTTCCTGCCAGTGTACACCCTGGGAGGCATCAGGTAATGGCTCAAGTATTTGGGTGCCTGCCACTCACATAGGAAACCCTGATTGAGTTCCAGGCTCTTGGCTTCAGCCTGGCCCAATGCTTTATCTTACGGACATTTGGGGATGAACCAGTGGATGAAAGACCTTTGTTTCTGCCACTTAAATAAAATGAAAATATTTTTAAAATATGATTCAGAGAATAAAATGATATCCATTTAAGTTTTATACAGTGTGCAAATGATGAGGCTATGTGTACTGTACAGAACTTAGAATCCCCAGGACCCAAAGTCCAAATGAAGGAGGGAATCTCAGCCATTGCAGGAAGCAGTTGCTCCCTGTTGGCCACGCCTTGCAGACAACGAGGATGTCAGCAGTACTGATCTAAGACTGCACAGAGCACACCTCAGCCAAGGGTTGGAGCAGACTCTCAGAACCTCCAGCCCAACTCCCTGGCTGTATGGACAGAACACACCACACCAAGGACTGAAAGGAGTTACCCAAGGTCACGTAAGAACGTGAAGCGGCGCCAAGCTTAGCCTTCAGGCCCTAAGAGTCCTACCTTCCCTTAGGTAGCCTCTGCCATGTACACTCCTCCTTCCCCACCACATGGCCTTGAAAACCCAATCTCAAAAACTGCCGATCTGCCTTGGCACAACAGTGTCACATTGCTGCTTCAAGCTACTGCTTGTTCCAACTCCCAGGAATGTTTTTAACACTAGGCTACAGGAGAAACTGGACGCATATCACAGCTCCAGCACGATATCCACTGATCAATCCGCATTTCCAACCATGTTGGTGATGGATTCCTAAAAGGGCCAATGCTGACTGTGTGATGCCAACTGTACAGCACTACTAATAGTCCCCTGAGCATGGTGAGGGAAGGGCCTTTCCTTAGGTGCCTAGCAACTAAAGCAAAGGTCGCATATTAACTCAGAAGAGGAGTTCAGGAGGAACTACAGAGGGAAGGCAAAAACAAGCACAGTTGAGAAGGCAGCACCTTTAAAAAACATACACAGTGTGACTATAAAATTTCAATTATTTCTCTTTAATAAAACAAACAGAGAATGTAGAAATCTAAGTGAACATTTCTCCCTCCAAGTAGTTACACCCTTGGTTCCAACAACGAACCACTGCTGGGACATCATTTGGAGCTCCTCTTTGGGGACAGGCCTTCATAGGCAGTTTATGAGCCACATTAGAAAATATCCTTCCAAATGCTGGGCTGCTTGAACACAGAACATCCACGCTCAGACGGAGACACTGAAAAAGTGAAAAACGGTGCTGCGGCGCTCGTGGAGGTTTCCCTAAAGGCCTCAGCAAGTTCTCAGCAACACCAGCGCCACAGGAGAAACACGCGGCCTCCAGGACAGCCACTTTCAATGGGAGGACATTCATTTGGACAGAAAAGTTCTGTTGTCTGCTTAAAAAAAAAAAAAAAAAGAAAAAAAACAGCCACACTCCTTTATAGTCACACTTGCATTTGCTTAAAAAAAATACAACACTCGCACATGGTTCTTGTATGAATTCTAATTAAGAGACATTACATTCAGAATTATAGCACTCATAGTGATAATTTTCAAAGACTAACAGCTTCTTTGCCACTTAAGGGATACATGGGGTGCAGCTGTTTACCTGAATGTATTCTTAAATAAGTCACTACTACCACTCTAAATTTCCTAGTTGTAGCTGTGTTACAGGTTACTGACCACAAGTTCATGTTCCAGACTTTGCCCACACAGATTAACAACCAAGGAGCCAGCCCCAGAGTCTCAGGGTGAATTGGGAAAGGGCCGGTTAAATGAGGAAACAGGCCATTCCTTGGTAAAAGTTTGTAGTTTTCTTTCCCAATACATCTTCTTTTTATTGAGAACTTCCATTTTTATCCTGTGTTCCTCCTCTGCCATCTCACACTCTCGCTCTATCTGCTGGATTTTGGCCACATGCACCTCATTCATTTGTATCAGTTGCAGCTGTAAGATGGACATTTGTTGATGGTGTTCTTCCTCATGCATCTTTTTTAAAGCACCTTCCTGAGAGGTTTTGCTCCTGTAGTTTTTATTGGCTGTTATTCTGACAGCTGAACACGAGGGTTCAGGTTGAGAGGTCCCCTCACATACTGGAAAATGTATGAACTCTTTCTCATCATCGCACAGTTCTCTATTTGAAACAGCAAATGATTCTGAAAAACAGTAGCAGAAAACATGTTCAAAGATTTTACAGGCAGAGAAAAAAAAAAAACAATCCTACTTCAAATGACAGGGTCCCTCATTATAGGATGTTTCTAAAATAATGTGCTTTGAGCTTCGTGTCTCCAGGCACCCTTGTCACACTTGACTTTTTAAAAACTCATAAATCAAAAGCAATTTTCCCTTAAGAAATAATGAGAAAGGGTTTCATTATATCATTTCTAGAACCAGAGACTATGTTAACAGTGGTCAGAGACCGTGTGTGTCAAGAATCAAAGACCTTGTTTTGTTGACAGAAACTCTAAGTGAGATGTGCCCACCTCTGACAAGTGTTAAGTCCACACACCACGAGGCCAGCAGCCTGTCGACAGAGGAAAACCTCTGTCGGTCTCATCATCACCCTCTGCCAGTCTTCACCAGAGTTCTGGGAGTTTCCTGGTCACAGGTATTAACCCTCATGTTGGATGGCCATCTCATTAACGTTCTCCCTTGAAGGATGAGACTACACTCTTTGGCTTAACACATGCCATTTCTTCCACCACCACCTCCATCACTACCATTTGGGGCCAAAACTCAGATCTCAAGAACACTGTCAGCTGTCCCCTTTTGCTTAACCTCTCATTAGAATGTCACAACCCTTCCCGGAATTTCTATCCTCCATGAGCTTCTGCACCATTGCTCTCCTGGTTCTCCCATCACCTCCCTCCTCGTAGACTGCTCCTTCTCAAGTCCCCTGGAGGAACTCAGGCTCCTACCCCATCCACTTGGTTCATTTTTCACATTCCCCTGGGGTTCCCATCTCTGGCTTTGTTCTGAATCCACCCTAAGTAACTTCACAACCTGGTTCCCATCTCCCCTTATCCTTCTTGTCTTATTCTTCAAAATACCATATGAGCCTATCTCACTGTCTCCTCAGCTAGAAGTTGGGCTATGTGTCCCCCCGCTCACCCTAATCTCCCTTTTTCAATCTTCCTCCTACTCATCCTTCAGGACTAGTGTCACTGGCTGTGAGAGCTCAGCTCTCTCCTTTCTCTGGACATATTCTTTTTTTTTTTCTAAGATTTATTTACTTATTTATTTGAAAGGCAGAGTTACAGAGAGACAGAGGCAGAGAGAGAGAGAGAGGTCTTCCATCCACTGGTCACTCCACAATGGCCAGAGCTAGACCAATCTGAAGCCAGGAGCCAGAAGCTTCTTCTGGGTCTCCTATGTGGGTACAGGGGCCCAAGGACTTGGGCCATCTTCCACTGCTTTCCCAGGCCATAGCAGAGAGCTGGATAGGAAGTGGAGCAGCCCAGACTCGAACCAACACCCATATGGGATGCCAGCACTGCAAGCAGCGGCTTTACCCACTACACCACAGTGCCAGCCCCCTAGACATACTCTTCTGTTACAGCACTTAACAGATACCAGCATTATTTTGGCAACATGGCTTACTAATTTCTTTTATCCTTGGGTACCAATTATGTTGCCTGGTACATAGTGGATGCCTAGTGATAATTACTAGCTGAGCCTTTGAATACAACAGGAAGAGAACATATGGATCCAAAAGGATGCCAGTTTTGGTAGGTGCCACACTTACACTGATATTCTTACGTGGCAATGACAGTAGTGTCAGTTAAGGAGTTTCATGAAGGAAACTACTAACTCCACTAACCCATGAAGTCTTGTAACTGTGACTCCATGCTTTCTTGGGAAGCTTTATATTTTCAATAATTAGAGTCTTCTCCTTGGAGAAAAATAACATCAATTTATTAACAGTGTTGATTACATTATTACAACCACTCCATTATTCTGGAAGATGGGATGCTAGGAATGTTAACGGCTACTGGGGGAACCAAATTCATAATACTGTTAATAAAAGGAAAATGGCCATTGCTTAGATCATTTCACTCCAAGGAGTAAGGTAACAACCATTACCAGTCCCTAACTCAGGTTAAAGAAAAAGTAAAAATCTTACTTTTAGAAAAGAAGGTTGACTAAGCACAAACAAAAAAAGTACAGAAAGATCGCATTACTATAGCAACCAAAGGTAATGAAATGTCTCCCTAGGAAACTTTGCCAACTCCAACAGGTCTGGCCTCAATTCCACATCTTTCATTCTTGTTCCCACTGCCTCCTGGGCCCACCTTCAGCAGAGCACTTGTTAAAACTGGTTTTCGGGCCAACATAGTGATGTAGTGGGTAAAGATGCCGCCTGCAGTGCTGGCATCCCATATGGGTGCCGGTTTGAGTCCTGGCTGTTTTACTTCCAATATAGCTCTCTGCTAATGTGTCCTGGAAAGCACTGGAAGATGGCCCAAGTGTCTACCACCCTCGTGGGAGACCCAGATGACTCCAGTCAGGCCTAATGCTAGCTGTTGCAACCATCTAAGGAGTGAACCACTGGAGGATTCTCATCTCTCTTTCTCTCTGGAACTCAGACTTTCAAATAAAAAAAAGCAATCCTTTAAAAGAAGAAGAAGAATAAAAAAGAAAACTGGTGGTTTAACTCCCTTCCCTTCAAGTCTGTGAGGCCTTTGAGACAGCGGCAGCCTTCTACAGAACCCAGCACTGAGGCTGAGACAGCTCTGCACACACAGAATCGAGTCGGGGGTGAACGGGCTGCAGCGGACCATACGCCTCCTGACACGGCACAACTACGCAGAAACAGCAGTGTTCTGATGGGGAACACAGGCACAGGACAAAGGCATGGCAGAGGGTTCACAGGAGGACGGGGGCCTCAGATGTGAGGTCAGTTGCAAAGAGCATTACCTCACCTGCTTCCTTTCTGGCTTTCGATCTGAAAATACTTCCTTGGAAGACTGGAAATATTAGACATTTTTTGGTACCTCTGGTCTCTTTTCTCTGATTTCATTCCAGGAGATAGTTCTGAATACTCCTCCGAGTCTTTAAAATTCATCCTTTCACAATACTGTTGTCTCTCCCAATTTCTAAATGTTCACTTTTATCTCAATAATTCTAGGCTTTTAGAAACCTGATGCTGCTGCTGCTGTTGTGGCCATCAAGTCCTACGTACCTAACCAGGTACAAGGCCAGTGCTTTCTTTACAGCACTGCTTCATCTAATCCTTAAAATTATCCTTTGAGGGAGATATTATTAAAGAAAACAAAACACACTAGCCCAGGTCACTTAGCTAAATGAAAGAAACAGGATTCTAATCCAGGACTTTCTAAAAAAAAAAAACGTAAGCTCAACCACCACAGCCTCACCTCCCATGACTCATCTGCTCAGCTGATCACTTATATATTTTAAAATGTAGCCTCCAAGTTGTCTCCACTACAAAGCCAACTATTTTTATTTATTTATTTATTTTTTTGACAGGCAGAGTCAGACAGTGTGTGAGAGAGACAGAGAGAAAGGTCTTTCTTCCGTTGGTTCACCCCCCAAATGGCTGCTACGGCCGGCGCGCTGCCCCTATCCGAAGCCAGGAGCCAGGTGCTTCCTCCTGGTCTCCCATGGGGTGCAGGGCCCAAGGACTTGGGCCATCCTCCACTGCCTTCCCGGGCCACAGCAGAGAGCTGGACTGGAAGAGGAGCAACCGGGACAGAATCCGGTGCCCCAACCGGGACTAGAACCCGGGGTGCTGGTGCCACAGGCGGAGGATTAGCCTAGTGAGCCGTGGCGCCAGCCCAAAGCCAACTATTATTAAGAATATGGCTGTAGGGGGCCAGCACTGTGAAGTAGCAAGTAAAGCCACCACCTGCAGTGCCAGCATCCCATATGGGCGTCAGTTTGAGTCCCAGCTGCTCCACTTCCAATCCAGCTTTCTGCTATGGCCTGGGAAAGCAGTGAAAGATGGCCAAAGGCTTGGGACCCTGCACCTGCATGAGAAACCCAGAAGCTCCTGGCTCCTGGCTCCCGGCTCCCGATCAGCACAGCTCTGGCTGTTGTGGCCATCTGGGGAGTAAACCAACGGATGGAAGACCTACCTCTCTCTCTCTGTCTCTGCCTCTCAAATAAATAAATAAATCTTTTTAAAAATAAGAGGCTGTATATTCTGGGGTGGGCATTTGGTATTAAGGTTAAGATGCCACATTCCCTATCAGAGTGCCTAGGTGTGAGTTTTAGCTCCACTCCTGATTCCAGCTTCCTGCTTATGTGCACCCTGGGAGACAGCAAGTATAGCTCAGGAGGCTAGGTCCCTGCCACCCACAGGGGAGACCTGCACTGAGTTGCCAGTTCCTGCTGCAGGCATCTGGAGAATGAACCAGCATATGGGAGCTCTCTGTTTCACCAACTCTCACATTAAACACTTTAATAAGAATATGGGTGCATATTCTGAATTTTCCATTTCTCTCCAGAGCTGTGAACATTAACGCAGTACCTTCATGTCTGGAGAACAGAAATGATTCTATTTTAAAGCTATTCTTTTTAAAATGTGTGCTAACATACATATTTTAAATAAAAAGAGCCATGACTCTTAAGAAGACTGGCAGAAGTTGCAGTTTAAAAAACCAGAGAAGTCTGATACAGTAATTATCTTTCACATAAACATTACCTCCAATCAACAGAAGCCAGGGTGCAGATAGAAGAATCTTCTCTTAATTGAAAAAGACCAGCCTGGGAATAGCAGCCTGCTGTGCACACATACCATACACTCTCTCTCCCAGGTAAAACAAAGCCACCCAAAGAAACAATTCAGTTTTATACAAAAGGATAGGAAGGCCTCTCAGCTTTCCTGGGACAGAGAACTCAGTCAAGGGGGCATTACTTCCCTTGGGCAGTTTGAGTAAGTCTAGTAACAGCACAGAAACCTGACTATGGCAGGTCAAACTCCAGCTCTTCTCAATAAAATGAATGCAATAGGACAGTGAAAAAATGGAGACAAAAGATGTGGGAGACGTATACTACAGAAGATAATGCATTAAGTAAAAGCAGCAGGTTAGATTTACACATCGTGGTTGGATCTTTTTTTTTTTTTTTTTTTGACAGGCAGAGTGGACAGTGAGAGAGACAGAGAGAAAGGTCTTCCTTTTTGCTGTTGGTTCAC